TCTCAAAATAACCAAAAAGCATTTCAAACCAGGAGAAAATCTGAGGCTCCTATTAACATAGGAAAGCAGACTTGGCCTCGAGGTTCTCCCAGCATCCCTCAGTCCCTACCTGTTATAGAGTAAAGCTGGCATGCCTTTCCCTCTACCTTTAATTCTCCAGCACAAGGACTGAAATGCTTTTCCCCCAGAGGCTCAAACTTATATGATCCAGACTTTTGGTTACCCACCCATTTTGTACCTTTGGCCCTTGTGGCTGCTGCATCTGGTTACGCTATCTCCCCTCCACTTCTCCTTCCACTTGTCCTCACATAGCTCATCTCAGGGTCATGACCACTCTGGATTCTCCCTGGTATGTCTACCTTTGGCTACTGAATAGCCTCTCCCTTTTATATACAACAAACTTTCTCCTCCACAGTTCCAACCCACAGGTAAGTCAAGAGAGACCCTAGGGGGGAAGTGAGAATGTGGGAGACAAGAGAAAGGAAAGATGGAGACAAGACTTGTTTATTCAAGAACATCTCAGGATAGATATAGGGAAAGGGGGGTGAGGTTTTGAACTATGATTTTTTTGAACCTGGTTTTGAACTATGTTTTCTCTGGTTGTATCTTGAGGGCCACCACCACCAGATACATGAATTGGGGCCACTTTATTCCAGCAGACCTCCTAACTAGTGTTACCCATACATGAGGCTTGGGCATATTTATAATTGCCAAGGACCTGAGGGGTGACAGACCAATCGCCTCCAAAGAGCAACAGTAATTCCTTTACAAACTGGCAGTGAAATATGTCTTACTCTCTGTCCCTTTGCACTCTTGAACAAGGTCATAACAGGTTGGGTGCATTTCTGAAGCATATTGCCAACCACTAGGGCATGGTTCTGGTAGACTGTTAATGGGTATAATTTTTGGTATATTGACACAGACCCACTGCTGCTTGTACCCTTCCCCAATACCATGGGAGTAGGTAGGATAGGCTACTTTTTGCCCCCAGTCTGTGGTCTGGGTGATCTAGGTGGGCCTGGTCTCTCTATTGCCTCCACAGCACTCACAGGGAGGGCCAAAAAGGGCCCTAATTAGTTCTCTGGGATTCACTGGTGGCCCAAATCCACCATCAGCTGGGAGTAGCATAGTCCAGGCTTTTAGCTTTAGTATCTGAAATAGAAAAACAAAAAATGTTCTCAGGACAAGCCTTCATCTTTGGAGTCATTTATACTGTTATCCTCATTTTTTTTTAAATTTGATCAATTTGCTTGACCAGGTATTCTGGAAGCCATATTGCAGATTTCATTTCTTTAGAATAAATGCATACTGAACCTCTTCCCCAAATGTTAACTGGATCTGGGCCATGCCAAGAATTGTTTATGGGGCCTTTCCATTATACAGATGCAAATTGTTTTGGAGTATCCATAAGCCAAAAATGAGTAGCTGCTGATCGTTCATTTGCATCAAAATTTAAAAATTAATTATAAAAGGGGAATGAGATGATATATTTCTAGGTGATCCCCTTGTAGGATACCATTCTCCCTTGTTTATTTGATCAATGGTAAGTTTCAAGGAAAGATGTGCTCTTTCAACTGCTCCTTGGTCTTGAGGATTGTATGGGATGCTGGTAACATGTTGAATATTAAGGTGTTTGCAGAACTGAGAAAAGGCTGAGCTGATGTAACCTGGACCATTATCTGTTTTTATCTGTTGTGGTCATCCTAGGACTGTAAAAGCAATCGGCATATGGCTAATAACATGCCTGGTGGCTTCACCAGGTTGCAGGGACTCATATATAAATCCACTAAATGTATCTATGATTACATGTACATAGTTAAGGTTGCCAAATTTGCCACAGTGCATTAGGCACTAATCCTCTGGGATTAACTCTAAGATGAGAAACTGGGAGTTGTATGGCACAAGATGGACAATCTATATCTATTTGTCTTGCATGATTCCTAGTAATAAGAGTTATACTACATAAGCCAAAGAGTTGTTCATTGATGTGGTATAATTGATGAGTTTCTTGAGCTCAGACAACTCCCTCAGGAGTTTTATCAGAACCGACCACAATCACTAGGTGATTAGAGGATCACAGGGGAGTGGCTGGTTCAGCTTTCTGATTTCCCTCAGTCAAAGGCGCTGGGAGTCCAGAATGAGCACATAAATGCCTTATGAAGAAAGGGCAAGTTCTCCTTTGAATAAGTGTTTGCAATTGCCTAAATAAATCCCCAGGGTTGGAAACATTTTTAATATGACCAGTAGTTTCCAGTAAAGGTACAGAGTGTGCAATGTAAGCACTATCTGTATGGATATTAAGAAATTGATCAGAAAAGTCTGAAAAAACTACAATGACAGCATGTAGCTCTGTTATTTGAGCAGAGGAGCCATTTGTAGTAAATTGCACTACTTCATAATTATAAGCAAAAGCATTGGTGCCTGTTGAGGAACCATCAGTGAATAGCAATAGGGCATCCCTCAAGGGAACAAATGATGTCACATAGAAAATACAAATTCATGCTTATTGGCAAAATCAATAGGTTTATCTGGAGGGTAATGATTATCTAAGATTCCTCAATATGAGGCCAAAGCAATAGGCCCGAATTCAGTAGTTTGCATAAGTAGTTTGCAATTAATTTGTATTAATTGAATTAAGTAGTTTGCAATCAATTTGTTCTTTGGTGTAAAGTTGTATAATAACATCTGGTTCTCTACCAAAATAGCACCTTCCTTGTTCTCTCCCTAAAATTGTAAGATCAGATACAGCCTGATAATAATGTCCAATGTCCTTTTTGGGTGTGGCCGGGAGATGGATCCACATTAAAGGTGCAGTCTGCTAAAACACAGTAGTTGGTGTAATAACTGTTCTACATATAATAAATTTCAAATGTTTATCATAATCCATAAATGTGACGGCTTTTGATCAGATGGCTTGTTCTATATTTGAATAGCTTTTCTCCCTTCCAGAGTAAGCTCACAGGGAGACATGGCACTAGCATTTCCAGGTAATATATCATAAAGAGTTTTTACATCACTCTTACTGAGATTTAAATATGGGATAAGCCAATTAATATCTCCAAGAAGTTTTTGAAAATCATTTAGGGTTTTAAGATTACCTAATCTTTTTTTTTTTTTTTTTTGGTTTTTCGAGAAAGGGTTTCTCTGCATAGCTTTGCACCTTTCCTGGAGCTCACTTGGTAGCCCAGGCTGGCCTCGAACTCACAGAGATCTGCCTGGCTCTGCCTCCCGAGTGCTGGGATTAAAGGCGTGCCCCACCAGCGCCTGGCTAGATTACCTAATCTTAACTCTAATTTCTGAGAGGAAATTTTAGAACCCATCATTTGGAATCTAAGATAAGTATATGGATCTGATACCTGAACTTTTTCAGGTGTTATCTCCAGTCTCTTACTTTGCAAGCATTTTAAAGCTCATCATAACATTTTAAAACCTTGCCACCATCTTTTCCAGGTATCAAAATATCATCCATGTAGTGGATTATATACATTTCTGGCCAATGATTTCTTACTGATTGCATTGCAAGAGCAACATAAGATTGACATAAAGTGGGACTATTAGCCATGCCTTGCTGGAGGACATGCCATTAACATCTCCTCATTGGTGCTCTAAAATTGATGGCAGGTAGGCTGAATGCAAAGCATTTTTGATCCTCTGGGTGAAAGGGGACGGTAAAAAAGCAATCTTTCAAGTCTATGATAACTTTGAAATGCCCCAAAGGTATGGCGATGGGTAAAGGAAGGCCAGGTTGAAAGGCTCCCATCAATACCATCATGTTATTCACTGCCCTTAAATCTTGTTATAGCCGTCATTTACCTGATTTTTTTTTCTTAATAACAAAGATAGGAGTATTTCAAGGAGAATTACTAGGGGTGATATGGCCTTATTAGAGCTGCTCCTGTACCAGCTGTTGTACAGTCAATAAATAGTTTTTCATGGGTAACAGGCCATTGATCAGCCAACACAGGCTCTTCAGATGACCAGGTGATTTTTTCTACATGAGTCACAGAAGTATCAATGGGCCCTATGAAAAATGGCCTAATCCTGCTCTGTGTGATCTAGGGGTGGCCTCCAGAGGTTTTAGTATTCCTGTTCCATGTTTTCTTAAGCTTCTACCTGGTAAGTACCCATCTTTCAACATTTGAGTGGTTTCAACATCATTAGGACTACACAGGATTATTCCAAGTTGAGACAAGTCTTGAGCCAAGAAGTTGATTGGTAATCCAGCTATAACATAAGGTTGTATGGTACAGGATTATTCCACATTGAGACAAGTCTCTAGCCAAGAAGATGATTGGTAATCCAGCTATAACATAAGGTTGTATGGTACAGGATTATTCCACATTGAGACAAGTCTCTAGCCAAGAAGATGATTGGTAATCCAGCTATAACATAAGGTTGTATGGTACCTTGATTACCTTCCTGATCTTTCCAATTTAAAAATTTTGAACTCCTTTCATGGTTTTGACTTTGTCCTATTCCCTTCAAAGGGGTCAAGGTTGCATCTATTGACCAAGTTATGGGCCATTCTTCCTTTTTAATAATGGTAACATCTGCACCTGTATCAACCAGACCCTAGAATTCCTTGCCATCCAGCCATATGGTCATGAGAGTCTTCTGTGCTGATACTACTTCTGCCCAGTAAATATCTGATGATCCAAAGCCCTTTTGATTATAGCTACTTTATTAGAGGTGAAGAGTAATGGGAAAAGTAGCAATTGCACAAACCTTTTTCCTGTCATAAAGGTATTAATATATTTGTTTGGGTCTGGGGGCCTGGGTCTGGTCTCTTTTCCCATTTCCCTGAACCTGAGGCAGGGGCTGTCTTTGAGCATCTGCCTTGGATCTGCATTTACTAGCCCAATGTTTTCTTTTATATCTGCCTTACAAGCCTTGGACTTGTATTTTTATGTCCCTCACACTCCTTAGCAAAATATGCAGTTTCCCCATAAGTAAAACCCTTATTTTTATTTTGTTGGGGTAAAAATTGTCTAACTGTGTACCCTTGCATAGCAACAACCATAGCAAGACCTTGCTCATAAGGGGTTCCAATATCTGAGCAGAGGAGTATATAACCTGACAAATCAAACTTTTTCTTATATGGGTGGATAGCTGCTTGGTAGGCAGCATTGGCATTTTCAAAAGCCAATTGTTTGACAAAGTCCATACCCGCATCAGCATTGCCAAAGATCCTGCCAGCTGCAGTTATTAAACAATGGACAAAGTTTGCAAAAGGCTCATCTGGCCCTTGTTTGATGATAGTTAGAGAAGAGTTCATGTCCCCTTTTACTGGCAGTTTTTTCCAGTCCTTAGTTGGGGCCACTTGGACTTGTGCAAAAAGACCTGCAACATATTGCATTTGAACTTCACTACTAGCATGATTCCCTTCTCCTATCAGCATGTCTAAATTCCATCCATTGTCGGCTTTCACATTGCACCAGGCTATAGATGTAACCAACCGTCTTATTAAATAAGAAACACAGAAACAATGTAAAAGAGAGAGCCGAGAAGTCAGAGCTCAGAGCTAAAA